TTCGTCGCCGAAGGATTTATCAAAGATTATTATTTTCTATTTAATGTCAGCATGCAAGAATATTAGTTACTCTGAAAATGGTAGCATGGTAGATGGTTTATGTTTATCAGACTGTATTCTGTTTCCTATCTAACATAATACTACCCTGTAAGATACTTTTAATAATCCACGTATAGCTGCTGTCGAAAATATGTATATAAAGCACATAAACAGGCTGATTTTATTTGAATGAAATGAATACAGTAAAGACAAGATGGCATGGTTAGAGTGACACTCATCCTCACCATAAGTGGAGACAGCTAACCAAGAGGGAAAAATGACTACTGGGCTCTTTTGCTCGGATCTTTACTTTACTCATGTGAAACAATGACTCAAAAATAACTTCTAATTCTAATTATATGTTGATAAAACTCAAGAAATAGAGCTATGTAAAGCAGACTAGATCATACACCTAATTTTAATTTGACTGAAAACCATAACTGTTTAAGATCATGAATAATTTCCATCCAAGCATTTAGGAAAGAAACAAATAAAATAAGTAGTTTAGTTAAAAGGCTCCTTATGGCGATTTCATTTCCTTTATCTGTACTATGGCATTTATATTTACTAATTTCCCAAAAGAGGACAATAATGAAAGAGACTAATTGTCATAACCATACTTGCTAGGTTAATTATTAAACTAGTAAAGATGGTTGGACGTGACAGGTTTACATAGTGAGATAAACTGTTTAGTGAATCTTCTGCAGTCAGAGTTCACGCAAAAAATGAGGAAATGTGATATTATATAAGAATTTTAAAAAATGGAGGAGTTGAAAACAACAGGGTCATTACCATAATAGTGTAATAGGCTGAAAAATTCTCTCTGATGTGGAAAGCTCGCTTTTCTCTACCAGAATGCCTAGAAATTCAGTAGTGTAAAAGAAACGAATGCCTTAACTTCTGTCGATCGCTTTGAAGGAAGATTTCGTTGAGATAGAGTAGCCAGTGCCGATGTGGGATTCAACGATTGCACTTCTATCACTTCGGTTTCTGCAATCAAGTGGGAAAGCGTTCTTGGTCCGTCTTAGGCACACAAAGAAAAACCGATATAAATAAATATTGTTGAGATACTGTTTAGTGAATAAGAATTTATCAGTGTATACAATAAACAATAGTTAATTTAACATACGGTCAAAATATGTATTAATGTCCCAGTTCTAATTTTGGGTCATGTAAATCCAACAATATTCGCTGCGATTTTCACTGTCATATTTCACTAAAATATTTCAATAATTGCAATCCTAGTTGTTGGGACAAACTCAGTAAGTCATGCAAAATGGTGTTTTCCTCAACATTTGAAAGATAGCTTAATGCTGAGTAGTAACACTCCCATCCACTTATAATATTAAGCATAGGTAGAAGGATGGAGTGAATAACCAAATCGTCAGACGCCAAAACTTTTGATATACGTGTACAACATGAACACGGTGGTGCGATGAAACAGACTGATAACAAGAGCTTCGATTATCATGTTAGATAGGAACAGTGAAATAGGTTTGAGTCAACAACTGTTGCGGATATCCTAAAATCCCACTAACTTTACGATAAGTGGTGAAGAAGACCATGTTTCAGTGTCCCGGAATTACATTTGATGTGATTATGAAAACCAAATTATATTTGAAACGTTATTCAGTAAATATTATTGTTTCACTGTACGCCTTATATCGTAAACTAACCAGTAAGAAAGTGAAAGCCTATAAATACGACAACAAAAAGTACATCCATCCTGTTTTACAGTTAGTTGAAATTTCGCGGTTAAGTTTTCCTCACATGTCAAAGATGTTAATCAGGATAATCAAACAGTTACGTCTCGACAACCTGACTAACAACAAGATATAACCTACAGTGATGGCAACAGGATGATAAGCTTTTCTTCAGCTAGATTTCGTAAAGCTGTTGTCTCGTGACCCGAAGGCCTCGCGTTTGAATTCTACTGAAACTGAGATTTTCATTTTGGGTGAAATCCTTCATCACTTCAAGAACCAGGTTTATTAATACCACTCTAAACGTTTCCCACCAAAATTTGAAGAAATCAAGAAACCTACATTTAGCATGAAGACTTGCTTTTTTCGCTTTGATTACATATTGTGCATGTTAAAATATGTGCAGCGACACTGCTAATAACAATCATGTCTCCCCATACATGATTTCAAATATTTTCCCCATATTACTGTTTTGTCAATATCAGGCTGTACACCGTAAGTTAAGAGGTGAAGCATAAACTAGTTTTCACTAGTCTTACCTCTTGTGAACACTCACCAATCTTCATCAGATCTGCAAATAGGAGTTAACCATAGAAAAACAGCGTAAACTGTTATAGCAACCTCTTCCTAGATTTACTGTACGGTAAAACAGCAATAAGCATTCCACATTTTTAACATCGTCTGGCTAACTAGCTGATCACTAACCCGGAGTGTGGAGATAGAAACTCCGCCTCACAAAAACTTCCCTAACGTAACGACAGCCTTAAAGTACAGAAAAAGCAAACTTAGTCTTCAGTGAAATCTAAAAGACTCATAAACTCATGGAAGAATAATACCGGCAGACGGGGTTTATTAATGGCACCAAAGGCCCTCAAGCAGTGAGAACAATTCACTTCCATTTCAACTCAGAGGACACCTACAAACAACGCAGACCAAGAGAAAAAGGAGGACTTTGTTTTCCCTTATGGGTAAATTTTGTTTTGATAAAGTCTCACAGTGTTATACAGTAATGTTTACTGATGACGTTTCAAGCACAATTTATTGCTCATAATCAAATCAAAAAGGAATCTGAGCACAGGCGAACAAGAAAAATAGTGTAAGCTGGTTATCTCTCAAAATCTCAATGAGAGAATATTAAATGAAAACGTCCAGACACTCCATCATTAGTTTGGGGACTATGAATGAATGTTTAAAATATTGTAAGATTGTATTATATTCATGCTGAAAAAAAATGTAGTATTCACTAGCAACTAGGTATATTCAGTCGCACATATGAACGTTTTACGCTAAAGTCACTTACGGAATATCAATATAAAATACTTTTCTTTATCCGCGAGTTGCAACCTACAAAGTTTGCTAACATATGAACGTGCTTGTCGAATGGACTAGAAAAAGATCCACTGGTGACATTTGAAAATGATATAGACGAACATAAGTGACTAGCCAACCTTTGAAAAAGCACCACGGTCCATTCAGGGAGTCACAACAGGACAGACTTATATGATGTTCGTCCAGTGCCGTAGATGTCACACTCACAGTGTCACTCTCAGCAGAAACTGCCATCATATCGACATGTTATTAATCATATAAATCTTTTTGTGGATAACTGCAAGCTGTAATGGACTAGACAAAAGCCAGATGGTCACATCAAAATTTCATTGGGTGATTTGAACTACAAACTGGGACCAAGCAAGACAGGAATAAAACTCATTATAAGTGTAAACGCCCTGGATGAAATTAATGCGGATGGAGAGCTGTTTGCAGACTTCAGTATCTCTAGTGATTTGGTGATTGGAGAAAGCGTGCACAAACACAAAACTATCTACAAGGTGACATGGGTTTCAATAGATGGCAGATACCTTCCCTTTCTTCTGTACCTTCTGAAGCAGTGGGGAGAGCATGTCCACTGATGCCTTCGAGTTTGCTTCTAGTGCTCTTAGGATGATTTTATCTGGTCCTGCTGCCTTCCCGATTTTCAGCAATATTTTGTCCTTCAAGATTCCTGTTTTTGTCAGAAGGTCTATATTCACTGGCCTTCTCTTGCGATCAATAACTACAATATCTGAATATACTGTATATTGACATTAAATGGTTTCAGTTTTTATGCAGTTGAAAACAATAGATAAAATAAAATAACATCCCACTCAATTTATTATTTTTGCTTTCTTCAAATTGTGGTGGTATTTCTGATTGAGTTGTAGGTCATAATGGATTCAGGAGTCGTTCGAAGGAATAAGCCTCTATTCCACCTCTTTCCCAACGAGGTTTTCGTCATCAACTTTAGTTGACTTTATCTGAGTTGATCTGTTCCAGGATAAGGACACGGTTATTTGATGGTGCTGTGATCTCTCTTTTACCTGAAACCTACTCTGCTTCTCTTGTCAATGAGTCAAAAAGGATAAGAGACAAGGAATTCAGCAGGTCGCAAACGAACCAATATTTCATTAACCTACAAATATGTAAACAGAAATGGAGATGGACACAAAATACTTTGAGGAGACCGCTGGCATCACCTATCACAGCATTTTAGGCCCTCAAGTTGAACCCAAATCAGCAGCGACAGATTGGGCATTCTAGAATGACGTGGAGAAGAAGAAATGGAAGCTTATAGGCACTCGAGGAACCAGCTAAAAACGATGGTGCAGAACTGGCTACCATAAAGGTTTTTCGCTAAAGCTGTGTGTTTTCCACTAGCAGTGCAACGAATAAGTAACAATAAGAGTTCTCTATTGATGATGGTCTTGTTTTCATGTTCATAGAATAAAAACCAAACAAAAACAATAAACCTAAAAGTTTCTTTTTTAAATACCAGGTGGCATGTATCGAACATTTATACTAGAAGCCATATTCAGCAATCAGATATTCTGAAAACAATGAGTACTTTAAAATAATAATTTAAGCGCTACTGTTCAAGAAGCCACAGCGCGTGAGATAACGCGTATAGAGCGTATTGGTGCAGATTTGTATATACACGGTTTGGGCTTCAGTCATGATTTCGAAGCTAGACAGATTTCACTAGGAATGGTTGGGAAGTGTAAAGCCAGAAAAGCCGCTGGTCTTATTTTGGGTTTGATGCGTGAAGGGAAAATTGCTAGACATGCAGTGCTTCTAGCTGGTTCCCCTGGCACGGGAAAAACAGCAATTGCTATAGGTACGGCCGAGGCACTTGGGCATGATATACCTTTTAATGTAATGGTTAGTAGCGAAACATTCTCGTTAGAAATTAACAAGACAGAAGCTCTGACATAAGTTTTTCGAATGTCTATTGGTGCACGTATTAAAGAAGCAGGAATAATTAAGGGTAAAGTTGTTGAAGTACTATTAGATCGCCCTGAACCTGGGACAAGCGCTAAAGTCGACAGACTCACACTTAAGACAACCGAAATGGAAGCAGTATACGATTTAGGTCAGAAAATGATTGAGCCTCTAACAAAGGAAAAAGTTCATGCAGATGATGTAATCACTGTAGACAAACCTTCTGGAAAAGTGACAAAACTAGGTCTGTCATTCACCAAAGCTCGAGATTTTGATGCCACAGGTGGTCAGACAAAGTTTGTTCACTGTTCGGAATGAGAGTTACAAAAAGGAAAAGAAGTTGTTCATGCAGTTACTTTACATGAAGTCGACGTAATCAACACACAAGGTTTTCTAGCCTTATTCAGTGCAGGTACTGGTGAAATCAAGTTGGAAGTCAGAGATCATATGAATCACAAAGTAGCTGCACTGTGTGACGAGGGCAAAGTCGAAATTGTTCCTGGGGTTCTGTATATTGACGAAGTATACAAGTTAGATACGGAATCTTTTTCTTTCGTTAATCCGACTCTAGAATTGGACTTGGCTCCTGTCCTTATTGTTGCTACAAATGGTGATATCACCAGAACTCGTGGTACACGTTATCAAAACCAGAACGGAATAACCACTGATTTGCTCAATCGGATGCTCATTAGTTCAACTGAACCATAAACAGACAAAGAAATCCAAGCGATTCTAAAGATTCGAGGTGAGGAAGAAGATGGTGATATATCAAAAGACGCACTGCTTATGCTCACTCGAACTGACATGCAAACATCTTTGCGTTATACGTAATAAGACTTGTCTGCTAGCCGAAATTGTCGACAAAAATTTATGTCAATGTTTACGTTCCGAATCGGGGTCATGAGCAAAAAACAATGACAAAGACTAACCTTTAGGAACTCAGCAACCAAATACAGAAGACTTAACGTGTGCAAATACGATTCGCAGATATATGGATAACTTTGTATAAAACGGTCACTATCAGTACAGAATAACCTTCAGCAAGTAAACAACCAACTAGAAGATGTTGCTTCTCTGCCAACAATAACAAATAATCATGTGCATAAAAATATATATGTTGATTTTTTCAGAAAACGATCTGTTGCCTGGTCCTTGTGTTCTGTCATTACAATACGATCCAGCTTATAACTTCTAAGAATTCAGCTTGCTGCAGGCAAAAAGGTTTGAAAGTGAGCAAAGAAGATAGATGAAAAGTGTATTCTTCGCTCTACCCTGTTTCTCAAAGAATACCAACAAGAATTCATGTTTAATGAAATAGCTGAAAAACTGCCATTAAATTCAGGTCACAAACCAAATGCATAGTAACCTCTTGGATTATTACATTCCTGTATATATTTGTGTGATTTGTCATATCGCTACCTGAAAAGGCTCAGGATTGGTGCTGATGGGGAAAGATGACTATTTTGCCAAGAGTAAATCTGTGATAGTAGAGCTGGTTCAAATCTAAGTTCGTCGACTTTGCAAATCTTCAACGTCATATTCTAAAATCCTCTCTGAAGAGAGCCAAAGAGCATTGAAAGCTCTCAAGAATAATGACAAAATTGTCATATTTTGACCTGACAAAGGTTCAGGAGCGGTGCTGATGGACAAAGATGACTACATCACAAAGATGAAAACTATGTTAAATGACCTGTTGAGATTTAAAGTTGACAACTGCCAGAAAGATAAGTGAGATGCAGTTGAAAAACGTTTCAGAAACGTATGAGAGATCTCCCAAAGAAGAAACTGAGTGGCACAAATACTTACATTGATTTAAAATCCTGAATGTATGGCCTTCCAAAGACAGAAAAAACAACTCCCGCTGAGACTTATACTTTCGATGACCAACTGGCCTCAGCATAAGGTTGCTAGTTGGCTTGTAGAGAAGTTGGAACCCATTCGTCAACGGCTAGCCGTGTGCGCCATGAAAGAATCATTTCATTTCGCCGAAAGTGTGAACCACATGAACGTTTCAAATAAGTTCGTGGAGTCATTTGGTGCAAATTTCTTGTTCACAGTGATTCCAGTCAATGAAACTATCGAGATTACTTGTCAACAGTCTGATCTTCCACCACTATCAGAGTCGGAATCCATAGGCATAATGCTAATGTGTACCATGGATGTGCAATTCCAGTTTGACAACACACTTTACCGTCTAATAGGTGGTGTAGCTATGGACAGTCCGCTTAGTCCTGTTTTAGCAGATATCTTCATTTTTGACCTTTAGAAAACAAAGACGAAGCATGCAATCGACGAAACAACTTCTCATTGTCGATATGACGATGACACATTTGTAGTGTGCAGCAATGAAAGTCATGCTTCCTACCTACTAAGATTATTCAACGGCGCACATACAAATATTGAATTCACTATAAAACACGAAAATGACGAGAAGTTCAATATCCTCGACATTGCGATGCAACGCCTAGAAGATGGTAGTCTCCAGGGGTCAATTGACCGAGAGCCTACATAGAATGGATCATGCCTACATTTTAGTAGTTTTTGTCCAAATAGCTTTAAACAATCACAAGTCAAAACTCTATACTACAGAGCTATGAGAGTATGCTCTACAAAGAAATTAGAGGAAGAATTTATGTTTCTCGAAAAAATGTTGAAAGCTGACGGTTACCCAAAAAGGTTCATTAACAAGTACGGAAGTTCTAAAGGCTCATATTTCAAACAAATCACAGTGAAAAAAGCCCATCTACATTGAACTTGATTTTAAAGGTGAAAATATTACAGCAACTATCAACAGAGGATTCATCACGTCACTAGCCAGAGCCTATCCTGCATCTATGCTGGTTCCCGTCTATCAAACAACATGCTCTTTGGATACCACAATCCATACAAATCAACAAAAATAACTAACGTTTTTGAATCGCCTGTATTAACACAGATCTGGTCTACCGCCTTAGAAAATCTAAGTGCTTTGATGGTATTAAAGCACTGGAGGAAATTCAAACTTCACGAAAATGTCGTTGAATAACAATAATCTTATGCAATTCATTGAACATTAGGTAAGTTAAGAAAAGTCCGCCGATAATTCAGGTAATCTTAAGGAAATATGTGTATATAATTAACGTAAAAGGGGAATTTTCAGAGTTTGGTTATCAGACAGCGACCTAAAGCACAAATCTGTATCAAACACTATCCAGGTAACACATTCATATAAGAAACCATAATGTGCACTAGCTAGTGGGCAGTCGTGTTCCCAATGAGACTCGAACCCAATACCCACTGTTCCAAAAGCTAAGTCAACCGATGCTGAACATTCTGGTCCAATCAGTCAACATAAAAATCAAAATTCAATTAAAAACCAATAATAATTGACGCTCGTTGCACAAGAGGCAGCTCACATTGCCCGAGTAGTCTAGTAGACAACGCTTTATCGTTTAAAGTGATAAGTGCTGGGTTCGAGTCTCACTGGGCACACCATACCCCCCTCAGGATTTTAGTTACAACCGGATGACGAGCCCGAAGTAGGGCGAAACGAGGAACCTGGATTCCAGTCTTATTCACCGTCCACCAAACTGCTTCAATTTAATCCACAGACATCGTCTAACCGTCAGTATTAGGAGCCAATCCGTCGACAGAGGCCGAACATTTTGGTCTAGTCAATCAAAACTGAATTAATACTAATGACTGATCAGTCTCTGAATGTTGGGGCTACAGAGCTCATACAAAACAGGCTGAAACATGAGGACAGTGGTGTCTCAACAGTATCGATTCTGAAAATGAAAATTGATTTTGATGTCTCATCTAAACTCGTTTATCAAAGCTGGGATATGCATACACTTCATTTTGTTAAAAACTCAAGTCATAAAAAGTCAAAATCTCTCTTTTGATTTAAAAATTACCCCAAATTATCTAAAACGAAACGAATTTCTATGCTTTTTAAAATAAACCTTTTACTTGGAAATTTTCTAGACCATCATCTTACATAAAATCTTCGAAATAAGCACTTCAACTTTGAATGCATCCCAGTTTAAACACAATCATTGAAGATTTTCAGTCGTAATGAATCGTTCACATAAATTTCAGAGTTATAGATCTAAGAGAAAATAAGGAAACTATGAAATCATTAACCGAATAAATTATCCTCTGATTAATTATACAATGTTAATAAATCCATGTCCCGCTCATAAAGAAGAGATTCAAAATGCTTCACGTTATGAATCCACATACATATACATGTGTATGCATGTGTACGAATTTTTTCTGTGAATTGACTGAATATTTTTCTGTCTCTCTGTTTAACACATTTTAGAAGAATTTCTCATGATTCTTTACCAACTGGATTAATATCCTGCCTTTTTTACACCTTTTTATTAGAATACAAAATGCAGAGAAATCACATATTTTCGCTTTATAGGAATAAAAAACAACAAAATTAAAATATGCAAAGATAGAGAGGAAGAGAAGAGTATCAGTAATTTCAGAGGAATATCATCTTAACACATGAATGCAAACTACTAAACAGTTAAGCACATTTTATGCAAACATTTCCAGTCCCCCAATATTTTTTTTCTCTTTTCCATTGATGATGACGTTCAATACAACGTATTTGTTGAATGTTATTGAATGTGTCTATTTGCAAACATACACATTAAAGATGTTGTGAGAACTACCTTGGATAGTCAGATGGCGCCAATATCTGTCAAAGATTATCTTTTCTTTTTGTAGTGACGTCTTAAACGGATATCATTTGGTAGGAATCTAATGACAAAACTTGTAATCAGATAGTATATACTGGTATAAATAGACTGAAGAGTTTATTTACAAACTACTCCAAGAATAAGATTAAATCGCTTTGTATTTTAAAAATAGTTATTGAAACTAAGAGATATTCTTTGCCAGTGAAAATATATACATATATATATATATAAAACTTGTAAGACCCCCATTCTACTCTAGCTCAATGTAGCTTATTAAATGTAAACTATTTTCCTAATATGCCTGTATAATAGAGACCGTTTCTATTTAGGAAAATTGGGAATTAATTATGAAGCTTTATTCGTAGTCTTAAAATGGAGAGTGCCTCTCTTGGTGGACTTGACCTGGCCTCAGGAGTTTTTCTCAACCTTGTTGAAATTCATGAAGAATTCAAATAGATCACAATATTTTGGACGGAGTGTATCAAATATCCCATAGGAGGATGGTAAAGGCTTCGCAAGTAAACTGTCAAGCTTGAGAAACACAATAACAACAAATGTACTGTCCTTAACTATAAACCTTCTCCATCATCTTCAAATGTCATTCTAACGATTTCCTCCGCACGT